GAGGTGGATGTTAGTCGGTGAAGACCGATGGGGCCGGTAGATGGGACCTGAGGCCCCGGTGTAGGTGAGCTGGGCAGACTGGGCATGGGGGGGGTGCGGGGAATAGAACCCAGAGGGGCCGGTTCCTGCAGCAGGCGGGCCCGGGTCCGGACCAGGAGAGCAGCGGGTGCGGTGGCAGAGGGGAGGAAAGAGCTTCACGAGGTCACCTGGGAGGGGCCCGGAGGCCAGGATGCTGGAGGGAGTGCCCAGGAGGCGCCGGACGTGATCACAGGTCAGGGTGGGTGATCTGCTCCTGAAACGGGCAGTGAAGGGGTGGGACCTGGGGTCTTGGGGAGCGAGTGCGATCCCAGGGCACAGGCTTCAGAGGGGCCAGGACTTGGGGGGAGAAAGAGTGGTCTGCAAGCAGCAGCGCGGGGCTGGGAGGACGCCCCGCCCACCTGCGTGCTTTGTGGTGCAGGGGGAGACGTGTCCTGGGGGAGAGCCAGGGTAGCTCCAGGGAAAGGGAGCCTTCGGGAGGGTCTCTGGTGTGAGGAACATTGCCCCCAGCCCTCACAGAACAGGATTCTGGAGGAGGAGTCTGAGAGGTTGAAGAAGAATAGAAGAGCCCTTCCGAGTCCACAGGTTTCTCACTACTGACGTTTCGGGCAGGACGGTTTTCTGCGGCAGGGCTGTGCTATGTGTTGCAGGGTGTTGTTCAGCGTCTCAGGCTTGTGCCCACTTGATGCCTGTGGCACCCCGACCCTGCTCGGTCTGATAACCAAGAATGTCTCCAGACGTTTCCAGATGTCGCTGGGTGAGGGTTCCCAGTGGTGAGCCAGCGGGTTACTGGAAACATGGAGCCACGTGGGGATAGAGCCACTGGTGTTGAGGATGGGCTCCCAGAAAGGAAGGCTGTAAAGGATGCAGATGAGCTTGGCTCTGATGGTCCCTTAGGGGAAGGTGGGTGTCACCACTTGCAAGTAGTTCCTTCTCGAGATTGGCACTTAGCTACTTTCTTCGAGCGAGTCAGGAATCTCCCCCTCAATTACACGTATTGTAAGATACTCAGAAACCTTGGAAATGAGATTGTCGTGTCCCTGTCAGTTACTTTGCGGAAAGTTTCCTGCAGTCGGAAGGGGTGAGGGGAGATGCCTAGAAACAGGTGCCTGTCATTTTGGTTTCCAAAATGCTGAATTCTGAGCCCTAAACCAGTGAGTTTAAAATCCAGCCCAGGTCGGATTCTGAGTTAGATTGGTGATACTCTGTGCTTCGTGTGCGTATAGAAAAGGAAACAGTGATTTAATTGAACAGAGGTAGTTCATTAAGGAGAAGAAGTATTAACTGGATTTCCCTTTCTTGTTTTTACATTGGCAGACATATCTGTAAGTTGGGTACCCGTCTAGCTTTCAACAGAGTGTTTGACGAGGCTGTACCATAGTTTCTTTCTAGGCAAGTTCACAGGTGTCTGAGCTGGATGCCCAGACAGTATGATGTCCCCAGGTCCTACTCAGTGATCACTCAACAGAGCTTCTGGTTGTGGATTGGTGAGTGAAGATTCAAGGCTCTGTCTTGACCTCACCTTGTTGAATATCTTTTCCATCGATTGGGATGAATACACAAAGTTGTGTGCTCAGAACAGCCAACAAGACCTAAGACAATTGGGAAGAATAACGAAGTGTGGGGACTTGCCTACCTTATGAGCTACCGAGGTGACTGAAGTGCCGTAGCGTTCAGGACCGTGTGCTAATAGAACACAGATAGGTGAAAAGATTATTGGAGAAGAATAGAGAACCCAGAAATAGAGCCACCTCACATATATGGAAGCCTGTTATATGACCGTATAGCTTATGTATATATTCTGAGCATCTTAAAAAGAGATATTGGTACCCACCTAAAGAACTGCTGGATGATGGAAGGGACCCAGGTGTCCCTATTATAATGCTGCATCCACCGCGTGCCCAGCATCGGGCGGCTCAGGACGGGGGTGCGCACCTTCAGCTGCCCTGGGAAACAACCATGCCAGCTACATCCAGATAACGGACAGACGGACAGACGGCCAAGGGCAGGAAGCACCAGCTCTAGGATCAGTAGGGGTTCAGAGATGAGAAATGTTAGCTTGGGAGAGATTGTGACATAAGGATTAAGAGGCGTAGTTGGGAATGAACATTGTGCATTGAATTGAGGGGACACCTGAGGGACAGAGTGAAATAATGAAACGCCAGCCGTGCTGCAGCAGAGGGCAGCTGTCTCTGCCTGCGCCCCTCATCTGCCTCCGCGATTGGAGGGTCATTGGGACCATTGTTTCCCCATGGCCTGTCACCACACCCGGCACAGGATGGGTTCTTAACACTTCAGAGTCAGAGAGGATGCAGTCAGAGGGTGAAGACTTTTGAAACCTGGGCAGCAAATACTTGAAATGTACAAAAATATTCATTGTAAGGTTTGAGCATTGACTAACATGTGAAAGGGTTGCTTTACGATCAGCCAGTGGTCTTGGGGTCCCTGGACCTCTTAGCAACATCAGGCAGCTTCTGAACCCTCTGAAATTGCGCACAAGTATTAACTAGACTAGCCTTTTTTTTTTTCTTTTTCTGGGATGCCTACAGCTTTCATCTGATATTCAGTAGGATCTAGCATTTTTTAAAAAAATGTATGTAAGAATTGCCACTTTTAGAAGATTCGTATTGCGGAAGACTGGGACAACTTAAAAGGTGGCAAGCCAGCAGGAGAGAGCCCTCCTGCAGTTAGCTGTACCGTCCAGGCCTGGGGGGTAAGGATCGGACCCAGGGTGAGTGTGGCTTCAGTGGAGAGCAGGTGGGAAGTTGGAAAGAGAATGCAGAATAAATGGCCACTTTGTGGATAAAGATGCAACCTGGAGCCCCAGACTCCGTGAGGCAGGTTCTCCTGCAGGAGCCGTGGGTTGACTCTTCACACCCCTCCCAGGACAGGCTCCCAGAGGCCTTTGCTCCACAGGTGACGGGGATATGGAAAGAAGGTTGATCCTTCTGACCGTGCAGAGATGGGATGGGATCACTGGTCTTAGGATATCAGGAATTTGCATCCTAGGGCATTCCTGGAACCATATTTGTAGCTAAAAAGATACTGTGTTCTTTGACAGTTCTCAGTACATGATAAAATGTCCTAGAACATCAGAAAATGAAAAGATTTTAAATTCATTTTGATTTCGAGTATCTTTATATTTGAAATCATGTCATCCTTCTGTTCAAAATCCTGCCAGGCTCCTCATTTCCCCCAGAGTAAAAGCCAGGGCTCTAGATAGTGGCCAAGCCCCTTCCTCTCTCCAGTGCCATTTGCTGTGAGTCTCCCATCCTCAACTGGCCCCGGCCACTGGCACCCCCCTCTGCTTCTGGAACACACCAGGCGCGCACACCTGGTCTTCGGGCCAGGTTCTGACAACTTCCTCCTCCCCGAGGTGCACATTCACCTTCTCATGCCTTTACCATCTTCAACTATTGCCTCACGCGTCACTTTCTCAGTGAGACCCACCCTGTCATTTAAAATGGCAACTCCCTCTCACCGTGCTGCCGCCTCCCCAGTGTCCACCCTTCGCACCCTCCTTTTCCCTCTCCAGCTCTCACCACCTCGTAATGAGCTGTGGGTTGTGGCCCCACTACTGTGTCAGTGCCACTCAGACGGGAACCTTTATCTGTCTTTCTCAGTGATGGATCCCAAACATCTGGAAAAGTGGTGGCCCACAGTAGGCCTCAAAAAATATTTGTTGAATGAATGAAATATATCGCACAGAAAGTTCTGTCTTTTGAGTTACAAAGATGCTGAATCATGAAATACAGAATTCTTAGAACTTTGGAGGTGTTTAGATGGTGTTCCCCCATCACTTTCTCTGGGTACTTTTCCGTTCTGTTGAATTTCATGTTCATTTCAGGTGTTTTCATGGCATTCTGTTCTTCTCTCTGATAAAGTAAAAACAGACATAATAAATTGAGAGTTTCACTTCCAGTGAATGATCACATTTGTGCACTGGTTTTAAAATTTTGTAAGTAGCTTCTGTGAATCAAAAATTGGCAGGTCTACTATGGACTTCCAACCCTATTGCTGGACATCAGTGAGAGAGGGAGGTGGCATGCCGATTTTCACTACTAATAAATTAACGTACAGCCATACATAATGTTGGGGGTAGAGGACAGAGAATCAGGAATGCCTTTATCTTGTGTGTACACACACGGAATCAACCCCATTTAAGATGACACTCACGTGTATTCCTAAGCGTCTTTACTTCATTCCTAATATATCACAGTAATTATGGGAAGAGAAAAATAAGGAAAAAGCTTCCCACCTCCCGCTTTCCTCTTCCAGAACTCCAATTATGCAAAATAGAGAACTTTATAAGTAAGACAGAGAAAGAAGTATCATAGGATACTGCTTATATGTGGAATCAAAAAAAAAATGGTACGAATGAGCTTATTTACGAAACAGAAATAGGGTCACAGATGTAGAAAACAAACTGTGGTTATCGGGGGGGAAGGGAGGAGGGATAAATTGGGAGATTGAGATTGACATATACACACTACTATATATAAAATAGATAACTAATAAGGACCTACTGTAGAGCACAGGGAACTCTACTCAGTACTCTGTAATGACCTGTATGGGAAAAGAATCTAAAAAAGAGTGTATATATGTGTATGTATAACTGACTCACTTTGCTGTGCAGCGGAAACTAACAACATTTTAAATCAACTAGACTCCAATAAAAATTAAAAAAAAAAAAAAGTTGGAGAAGCACAGGCCTAAAAAATAAAAAAGAAAGAGAGAGAGAACTTTAAATTCTCCAGAGCATAAGGATGACGCCAAGAGGAGAGCCTGCCTTTGAACTGCAGGGGCGCTGTGACCTCTAACACGGGATGCTCTGGGCCTCCGGCCCAGGGGTTATTTGCGGAGCATGATGTGGCACTGGAGGAACGTTGCTGTAGTACTTGTGCGAAGTCTACTTTGTAAGTGTTGACCTTTGCGTTCTTTTGCCTTTTCCGGTCCGGTGGCAGACACGGGGCTCGGTGACTCCGTGTGCTCCAGCCCAAGCATCTCCAGCACCACCAGCCCCAAGCTCGACCCGCCCCCCTCCCCTCACGCCAACAGAAAGAAGCATCGGAGGAAGAAAAGTACCAGCAACTTCAAAGCCGATGGCCTCTCAGGCACTGCTGACGGTAAGGCCTCCCGGGACCTCAGGGCCAGAGTCCGCGTTCCTGAAAATTGATTTTTACTTTTTCTCATTTGTGGAATCATTGATCCTCAGAACCACACATGCACAATAACGCAGGTCAGTGCGTGTGCTTTTTGCTAACGAGGCGGTGCTAGGGGACCCTGTCTTCACTCACTGATTCTCGAGGCTGTGCAACCACAGCAGCTGTCTTACCTCCTGGCGGTTGTGGCCTGGTCAATGGTGCTGCTGGTGTCCCCTTCGTAACATCTGGTCAAGTTGTTTGGTCTTCCCCGACCCCGGCAACCTGGGGTCGAGGTGTCTGCTCCAGCCGAGCTGTGCCATGTTGTCTTCCTCCAAAAAAGATCGGCGCCTCCTAACTTAGGAATCTTCCCTGACACCGGTAGACTTAACTCTAGTACGACAGCCACTCCGATGCTGACTTTCAGCGACGTGTGATGATAAACGCCCCTTCTGTTAGCGTCCGTCACTCTTTTTGTTTTGTGAGCTGCATTAGTATTCCCGCTGACACAGTTTGTCTTGCTTCTCCTTTGACTTGTTGAAGTCGGGTTTTATTCTCAGCGATGGCCCGATGTGATCTTTCAGAAGCGGCCCCTTCTGATGGACTTGTGTTCTTTTATTCCATGGATGCAAGTGGAGATACACACGCATGCACACGTACACACACATTGTGGGAGGTGAAATTAATGTAGTTTCAATAAACAAGTTAAACAGATACTTCAAAGGAAAATTAAAATTCCCAAACATGGTTGTATAACATGAATAATCATTGGTGAGACCAATAGTAGTAAAAGAATCTGGTTTCAACAAGGATTCCATATACGCTGGAAATACCCTCATAACTGATATCCTTTTTCTCTATTTCTGCCACACTTTTTCTGAATACTCTTTTGTTCAAACTGTAAGTTTCAGTGTTAAAGAAAGTGCCTGTTCCCTCCTCATATCCAAAGATGAGCCCGTAGACCCACAACGTATATGTTAGCGGGGAAGGAACGGAGTTTACAGTACACGCTCTGTGTCATTTACCGTAATCCTGTGAGTTGGTTGGTGGCGTTTTCATTTATAATGAGGAGACTGGGGTTCAGAGTGTCAGGGAGCTTGCTGGGGCTCCCACGGTGGCAGGGAGGAGTCTGAAAGCCCTTCTTCACCACATTTCTTACCATTTTGCTTCCCATAGCTCCCTGCTAACAAGTTTAGCCAATAAAAACCAATTCTCTCCTGTTATGATAAATGAGGATGATTCTATTATATCAGCAGTGGTGAAAAATAATGATTATGGATCAAAGCACCCACCCAGACACCACTGACCTTCCCCTTTGGAAAAGAAATCGGCCACAGATGCCGAGCATTGATGAGACACCTTCCAACAACTTCAGCAAAAAGCCCCCAGCCATGCACAGATGGCCACACCCCACCAACAAAAGGACTGAGGTAAAGCCAGGAAGATGCATGGCCTCTCAGCAGGGTGGGGAACCTGTGCCCCACATACCCAGGGGAAGAGTAAGCTTTGCTCTATGGAAAGGCCTCATGCCCATTTCACGGATAAATATCGTACCGTGTCTGTCATGTGTTTCCAACCAATGACGTTTTTCAAAAGTGTCTGCCACTTGGTAGAAACTGGGGATCAAGTCCACCCTTCACTACATTACACACATTTTACACATTCTAATCATCCCACCCACCTACTGACATAGTGAAAGCTGTGTGAATAAGATACAAACTGAAAGTAAATCAGTAGCGGTTGCGTGTTTAATCGGGCTGCGGGTTCAAAGCATCCCGGTCATCCAGTGAGTTTGCAGAAAACTTGCCAAGTGACTGTAAGCTTGTCGGACGCCTGAGATGTTTCCATCTTCCACCGCCTGAGTTACTGAGGTTGTACTGTGTGCTCCAAGCAATAGCCTGTGACGAGGCTGAGTCATATCCTCAACCCCAAACCAACCACAGACCCTTTCATTAAAGGGCCTTACTGCTGAGGCAGTGATGCAGACAGAAAGACAGACTCCCGGCCACCAAAGAAACACCCAATTTAGAAACCACAACAGCATCTCAGGCATGAACGATGAGTGGTGGTTGTGTGTGTTCAGAAGTTCAACACTAATGATTAGAGAGGAAGCCGGGCCTCACTTTGTAGTTCAGAAGACTGTCTCTGTGATGCCACAGTGTGACGTCTTTCCAACAGAAAATAAGACAAGTTCTCGGTAAAAAGAGAACGGATCATTTTTCCCGAGGAAAGGTTACCTGCCGACCTATAAATGAGTCGTTTTTCGGAGACAGGCTGTATTGATTGTATCCAAGACACACTGTTTTTCTTTTCTTCACATTTTCGCATCCCTGAAGTCAGAAGGCATCGTTCAATTGAGATCATTTTCGATTCAATGATATACAATATTTTTTAGTACTCTTAGCAACTCTTATTAATCAAAGTGTATTGTGGGAACCATCAAAACTAAGCCTTCTCTTCTTGAAATGAAAGCTAGTTGTATATTTTTAGAGGGCTGTTTCATTTTAATTGTAAAAAAAGATTTCTCTTTCCTGCAAAGCACTATGACTTGTTATTACCAGTATATTCTCTTTTGTTTGACCTCGTGCTGGAAAGTCGCAATTGCAGATGCAAAATGTTCTCTAGATGGTGTCCATAAAGTAGGTGAATTGTGTAGTTTTTGACATACCCCATTGGAACAGATGACTAGACTCAGATCTCTTTAGAGTATAAGAAAAATAAAATTCAGCTATTTCAGTCAGGGTCCCGGGAAAAACATGGCACCCTCAACTGGGTCGTTGATAGGAATTTTCCACAGGGACTATCTACAGAGGTGTGGGCAGGGTGTGGGAAGAGCTATAGGGATGGTGCAGACTCCCAGTGGGGTGATGGGGAAAGGAGGGGCCGGTTATGAGGACCCAGAGAGGGCGGTGTCTGGGGGAGGTCTCCATCAGGAGCTGTGTCCTTCAACAGAGGGACATGTGCCACCCCAGTGACCCAAAGGATGAGGGGGCACAGGGGAGGCGCCTAACCTCACTCTCCTCCCTGCCTCTGGTCTCATGCCACCACCTCCTTGACCAGACCCAACCAGAAGCCAAAGGGTGTGAGAACTACTGCTGCCGCCACCCAGGCCTGCCTCTGAGGGCGTTGGAGGGCAGGTGGAGGTGAGCCAGCGGAAGCCGTGTGCTGCCCACACCTTTCACAGTGCCTCTTACAAGCCCCTGGGCACGTCTGTCCGCTGATCTTTCATCAGCACGGTAGACCAGAAGCCTCTGTCCACCGTGGCCCCCGAGGGCCTGGCCTGAACCCCACCGAGGGAGGGGTCAGAGCTCCCCAGATGCACTTCTGAGCCGTCGCCCAGCCAAGTCCGAAAGGGAGCCCCCACGCCCTTCCCAGTCTCTTAGCTGAGCACAGAGGTTCTAGCGCTGGATATTCCTTACCTTTGTGGCGTCTTTGTTCAGAAAGTAAAGGCTAAAGTGTATCATCAGTATTTATGCTGCCTGAAAAGCCAGAAACTCTCTGTCTACCTGGGGATCCTTGGTGCTCCTGATGGAAATAAGGATCTTCCTTCCATGAATTTTTCGCTGCCCTGGCCCTCATCGGACTTGATTTTAGTAGTTCTTTTCTGCAGAAGAACAGTAGTTCTACACAGAATGGGAGAAAATGCTGTCACCTTGGGACTTCCCTGGTGGCGCAGAGGTTAAGAATCCACCTGCCAGTGCAAGGGACACAGGTCGATCCCTGGTCCGGGAAGATCCCACATGCGGTGGAGCAACTAAGCCTGTATGCTACAACTACCGAGCCAGTGCTATAGAGCCTGCGAGCCACAACTACTGAAGCCCGCGCGCCTAGAGCCCGTGCTCCACCACAAGAGAAGCCACCACAATGAGAAGCCCGTGCACAACAAGGAGTAGCCTCCACAACTAGAGAAAGCCCGCGTGCAGCAACAAAGACCCAATGCAGCCAAAAATAAATGAAAAAATAAATAAAATAAATTTTTTAAAAAAGAAAATGCTATCACCTAAATTAAGAACAATCATTTTCTTATACTTACAATTTAAAATGAATGGACAAAAGACCTGTATGCAGAAAACTATGACACTGATGAAAGAAATTAAATATGATACAAATACATGGAGAGATATACCATGTTCTTGGATTGGAAGAATCAATATTGTGAAAATGACTATACCACCCAAAGCAATCTACAGATTCAATGCAATCCCTATCAAATTACCAATGGCATTTTTTATGGAACTAGAACGAAAAATCTTAAAATTTGTATGGAGACACAAAAGACCCCAAACAGCCAAAGCAGTCTTGAGGGAAAAAAACAGAGCTGGAGGAATCAGACTCCCTGTCTTCAGACTATACTACAAAGTTACAGTAATCAAGACAATATGGTACTGGCACAGAAACATAGATCAATGGAACAAGGTAGAAAGCCCAGAGATAAACCCACACACTTATGGTCAACTAATCTATGACAGAGGAGGCAAGGATATACAATGGAGAAAAGACAGTCTCTTCAGTAAGTGGTGCTGGGAAAACTGGACAGCTACATGTAAAAGCATGAAATTAGAACACTCCCTAACACCATACACAAAAATAAACTCAAAATGGATTAGAGACCTAAATGTAGGACCGGACACTATAAAACTCTTAGGGGAAAACATAGGAAGAACACTCTTTGACATAAATCACAGCAAGATCTTTTTTGATCCACCTCCTAGAGTAATGGAAATAAAAACAAAAATAAACAAATGGGACCTAATGAAACTTCAAAGCTTTTGCACAGCAAAGGAAACTATAAACAAGACGAAAAGACAACCCTCAGAATGGGAGAAACTATTTGCAAACGAATCAACGGACAAAGGATTGATCTCCAAAATATATAAACAGCTCATGCAGCTCAATATTAAAAAAACAAACAACCCAATCCAAAAATGGGCAGAAGACCTAAATAGACATTTCTCCATAGAAGACATACAGATGGCCAAGAAGCA